CGCGGATAGCAACCACACGGTCTATTTTGGACCGCTCTCTGTGGAGACTGGTGCGAAGCGAGCGTTTGCCAACACCCTGCTGTACTACGGTGATGCGTTGTACCTTTTGCAGGGGATGGGTAATGGGAAGACGGATGGCGTTTTTCTTTTCCGAATTATTGAGGAGCTGGGAAAAATCAAGTCCATCGTGAGGAATTGGATAGAAGTGGACGCCTTCTTCTCCGGGTTGTCTACACCCACGAATGGTCTTGTGGGGGTTTTGTCCGATTCATCCGATGCCGGCAAGTGGAACGACATGTACCGCTGCGTGGATGCAACCGTATTGGGCGCAATAAGGATTGAGGGTGGCTTTAAGTTCACAGGGCATGGGGCCGGGGGAATATGGCCCGTGAACAGCCGGGGAGATAATAAACAGTACACCTTTGTGGATTCCACCTTCACTCTTGTGGCGACGGTGGTCATCGAAAAGATGCCTCCGGGCGGCAGTAGCGTTCCTCTGCTGGGTGCGATGCTGGAGGATGGAATGGGCACGAAGTTCCTTGGGCTGGCTTGCGCTGAGAACAGGATGTGGGAAACAGTGTTTGATGAGCAAACGGGGCAGGGCGACTTTTGGGTGCCGAAAAAAGAATACCAGGTGGCACTCATGCTAAATGGGAACGAGGGCTATTTTTACTTGGACGCAGAGCTTCTGGGGACCTCGGATACGATGCGAAGACGTGAAGAACGGGCATACGATGTTTTGGGCTTTTATTTTGGGGGAGACGAAAGTGGCCGGGACAGCAGCGCATTAGTGAAGAACGTCTTTTTGTACAACCGCAAGTTGACTCCCGATGAACTGAAAATGGTCAAGAAGACTGGCTCTCCCAAGCATGAGAGTTCGTCGTCGGAGGCGAGCGGATCTGACTCCTCTGCGCACGAGTGTGTTTATTTTGTGCCTCTGGTGTCGCTGGGGCTATGGGCCCTTGCGCTTTTTTATGGAGTGTAGCAGAGTATGTTTATTGCGTTCTGTAGGATTACATGCATTTTGACACGAATGTTCTGGAAGTCTGTGAAGAGAATTTTTGCGAGCGGGCTGGCTAATTTAATGTATTCTGACAAGAAGACGAATACGGTTTTTTAACGATTTGTTTTTCCTTTTTGAATTCCTTTTGAAAACTGCTATTGAATGGATCAATGAACCGATAACGGCAAGACGAATTTGTTTTTATTTGTGTTTTTACCTTTGCAATTTAACTCACCTTCTTTGATCTTTACTGTGTGGCGGGGACTTCGGGCCGGAAGAAAACGAATAATTCCATGTCGTAATTAATAAAAATATTTCCAAATTGGATGCGTGGCAACGTGTCATAATCGTGGTTATCAAAATATATCTCTCTATTTATGGACCAAAAATTGAGGGGCTTCTGAACTTACTGCCTCTCTATTACCTTTGTCTTTTTCAGGAGCTTGTGAAGAGAATGTTCACTTGGCATGCTGGCTATCTAATTTAACATACATGTATCTTAATAAAGCGAACCCCGTATGTTCTTTTTCTTTTAATGATTATTTGTTTGACCGCGATGCACGGAATCAAGGAACCGATAAGAACTAGACGAGCTTAATTACTTTATTTTTATTTTTGCAGCCAAACCTGATTCCTGCATTTTTATGTAAAGAAATGGCGATGGCTCCTTGCACGGCAACGGAATGGAGCTTCAGTGGTAGTCGTATGCTGGATTTGGCACGCCAACAAGGCAATATACAGGCGCAACTCGCCTACATGGATGAGCACAGGCCGTTGGACGTGGTGGTAACCGTCGCTGCGACAATGGCAGTCCGACGCTGGATTTCATGGGACATCGCCAAGCACTGGGGGGATCCAACCCTTATGGGGCACTTTGCGAACCTCCGGGCGCCTCAATTACCAATTTTCGAGACCCAATTGCTCCCGCAGTTTGTCGCGGACGTTCAGAATCGCAATGCGCAGCTTTATTTGCAGGTGGAAGAGGCGTATAATTACCTGCTGGCTTGTGAATCCCACATTGCGGTGGCTGGCGGCCTTTTTGCGGGTCGGTGGGACGCCGTGTCAACGGGAAATGTCCACCTCTCGGAGAGGGCCGCCAGATGAACCCCCACTCACGCATGCAAGAAGATGGCGTCAACACACAGCCGCATCAACTGCATCATTTGATGGCTAAGGGCGTGCCAGAATCCACGTTTCCCTAACGCAATCTCACGGGAGGGAGAGACGGCGGGTCAACACCCGAAATTCTCAGGGCAATTTCGGGAGACCACATAGCTCTCACACCGTGACTTTGCCTTTTCGCACCTTACCCTTGGAACGAGATTTTGCTTCAGAGGATCAGTTACTAAATTTTATTGCATTGGACGCCACCACGTTGGCCACGCGTATACGGAATGAGGGCATCTCCGGAGTCGTCGACAGTCTCAAGAGCGCATAAAGTTATAATTTGCACCAAATGTACGCTCAGGCTCAACTTTCCTTTGACAGTTTGGTATCGTGCGAGAGCGCACAGGAAGCAGAGCGGGATCCCAACGAGCAGTTTATGAAATTGGGCAGGAACATATCGCAGGCATTCCGGTTGCAGCTCATTTTGGCATCCGAACCCAGCATGCCGCTCTCCAGACTGAGCGCCCGCCTACGCATAACAGCGATCGTTGCGATGTCAATTTTTTCACATTTATGTACACGACGCATCTACGTGCAACGTGCGCAGCGCAGCCAGATGGAATTACTTGCCGCGCAGATGGCCATCAAAAAACGGCAGAGGAGCTGCTTGCCGCCCATGAAGGCGAACGAAGGCAGCCTCCATCCATTCCACCACTTCCCACCAATCCTCACAGGCGTTGCACCGCGCCGCCGACACTCCATCCGATATTACAAATTGCCCGACGAAATCGTCTGGAAGGGCAATGGAGCTTATCCGCCAACGACGCTCGAATGTGGTATGGCAAATCAATGAAATCCCCGCTTTGGGCCAGCTACATGAGGAAAGCAAACGAGGTGGCTCGAGAGATGTGCGCCGTCAACGTGGGAGCAGAGAATGTCTCTAGCTGGGCAATTCACAACCTTTTGCCGCGCGCACGAACAGCCGATGAACGAGGAGAGTTGTGCGGTCTTTTAGATGGCAATCGAAGTGGCGACATCGACCCGACCGCAGTACGCCAGGATGCTGCGGTCCATGTTGGAAATGGATGGAACCCCGCTGGACATGGCGGCTTTGAGGTTACAAAAAGTTGCGGTGCGATCGGAGAAGAAACAGACGAGGCAGGCGTGCCCCTCGACAAAGGAAGGGTTGAATCAAGTAATCCGCAGCCGGACCGATTGGAAGGAAAGTGTTGTTTTTCGACTTGCGTGGATAACGGCGAGTCGTTGGTTTGAGATTGCGGCCTTGACTCCCAACAATTTCACAATGGAGCCGGACGGGACCGTAATTTTGGACTGGTCCGTGGCGCCGAAGACGGCGAGGGCGGATCCCCACCGCGCCTTGCGGTTCGTGAGGATACGAGGGCAGCACGCTTTCGACATTATAAAGTTATGCAGGACACTTCAACGCAACGAAAAGCTCACGAATATTACTAGTGCCAAAGTCGAACGAACTTTGGCTCCTTGGAATGCCACGGCGCATTCCATAGAACGCGGTGCGTTGAGGCACGCTGCTCAAATCGTGGAGACATACAATTTGGATCCACACGTGATCCCGGAGTTGGCGAAGCACGTCGACCCGTTTGACCTTCCCCAGAATACTGTTTGATATTTGGGGATGTACACCGCAATGCTGACCCAGGTGTCGGCGCTGTTCGCGTTGATGTGAAGGGAGAAACGGCGGAAGGGCAAGAACCCTGGTTGAGAGCAGAGGAGCATTTTTTCCATGATTTTTATCACCCTGCTACAATAACGAGACGTGCGACAAAAACGCGTCCGGCCACTCCACAAGATGAACACGCTATCCCGTTACAGCAAGTCAACGTGCCCGTATTGAATCCAGAGTGGATCAAGATCCGGTTGAACCCGGCTACCTTGGAGAGGCTCATGCAAGTTTGGGGACTCGTCGGGCGGCTCACTTTCCCTCCGTCTTCCTCCGGTAAAGCGCGCAAAGGCTCACGGAGGATTCCAACCGCTGACGCGAGGTTGTTACGAAAAGCAGGAATAATCGAGGACGCTTCGTCTGCAATAACAGGCGGATGGATAATACCCTTCTCAGTTGTGGAGGAGAAAACCACCGGTTTACGACGACGATGGATCGCGTGGCCACGCGACAAGAACAGAGACGACCCTTATGAGGCTCATGCTCCTCTTTTACATATTTCCCATTATTTGCCGCCTGTGATGACTGAGGCCGCTTCCTGCCTGGATTTAAAGGCATCCTTTTTTCAAGTCTTTGTTGCTGCGGGAGACTCGGCATCTCTTTCGATGCCGCGTGGAGGACGGCACGCTGGTGGGGCTCACACGGCTCCGAATGGGATACAAGGCCGGCCCAGAAATTCTCCAGATCATTATTACTTCGGCATTTGCGAGGATGACGACGGTGGCTCACCGCCTCTGGGCTGCACCTCCATTGGTGCGTATCGACGTTTGGATCGATAATATACGCATTACAGGGTCGAAAAGCGACGCGACATTGTGGAAAGCCCAAGTGCTTCGTAATGCGGACGGCCGTCACGCCACGATGGGGGAAGAACGCGATTCGGGTGCTGCGCAGTACACCTTCCTGGGGGTGCAGTTTGATCACACTCACTCCAGGCGGTATTACTGAGTGACGAGTTTGTCCGGTCTGTATGCGCCATGCCGGCGCTTAATTCTTTAACCATCGCGGAAATGGAGTTTATGGCGTTACGCTTTTTTTATGCGGCGGCCATTTTGTGCACGCGTTTATATGTCTAGTACTTTTTCATCAAGGCAGTGCGACGACGATTATCCGCACTTCACCAAGGGATTGTGCGGGAGACATCCCCGGCGAACCTTCCGCCATCAGCGATTGGCTTGGGCAAGAGATTACGACACATCGAGAATACAACCGTAAGCGAATCATCAAGTCCACCGAAAAGGCAGTGGCCGCCATCATCACGGATGCGTCGCTTCATTGTTGGGGAGCTGTTTTCATTCCAGACTCCGGCGACGTTAAACTAGCCGGAGGGAAATGGGAGAAGAAATCTTTCCTTATCATGCAGGCCGAGGCGCGCACGGTGCGCTTAGCCCTATCGTCCTTTTCCGCCATCTTGCCATCCACCATGGACGTTTGGGTGGACAACACTTTGCTGCAAGGAGCGGCGAATAAAGGCAGCTCAAAATCACACGCGTTGACTTCGGAGCTGCGAGTGATATATGAGTTTTTGGAGTCTCGCGGAATACAGGTATCCTTTGCATACGTACGGTCTGCGGAAAACCCCGCAGACGGCATATCACGCGGCCATGTGTTTACACTTCAGAACTTGACGAAGGGGAGCGGCGGGTTTTTGTGTCTGGAGAACCCCAAAGTCCGCCACTCCGTAAGTAATAATATGTAAATATATGAATATCCCATTCGAATAATGTGAGCGGGCCGCGACTGTGGCTAATGGACGATATATAAATATACACTTCCTAGTTTTTACACTTTGAGGATATGGTGAACTCCCGCTCTTATTCCATTCGCCCCTTCTTATTCCTCTCTGGTTTGTTTTCTATTATATATAACTTGAGGATTCGTCCGGCGGGCCAGAAGATTATTTTCTCATGTGAAGGTGTGCACTTATTTTTGGTTTCAGGGATGAGGCAAAAAAAAAAAAAAAACAGAGAACGTTAATAAATCAAACAAAAAAAGGACGATAATGTGGCGGTGTTGGGGTTGGTTGCAGGCCTCGGCTGCTTCACCGACAGGCGTTGCAGTGCGGCTGCATGGCGTGCCGATCACTCCGCCGCGCGAGTGCCACGCCCAACGCCATTGGGACTGCGGGACGAGACAGCCGCGAGTGTCCTTTGGAGCCAGCGGCACCTGCAGGCCG